CTTCCTTCCTTCCTTCCTTCCTTCCTTCTTTCCAGCACTGATGATGTTACCTAGTTGGGTCATGAAACATCCACAACTAAGCTCAGAGAGCACCAAGGACCTCACGCACCCTCTCCAGCAAGCAGTCAGAATACCAGACAAACAATACCCTAATCAATGAACTGTGAAGGAGAAACCCACAATCCCACCGACACTGACAGGACAAGCTACTGTATACAATAGCGAATCCCTGGCCAAACATCCAAGTTCAGATGTCCTACCAAGTTCACGTCCTACCAAGCCACAGGACAACTTCTGGAGAACCTATGAAAGTCTCAAACTACTAGGAGCTCTTATGCACAATGCTGGAAGCAGGAAAATGCACCACCAGAAGCAGCAGTTATAAATAAAATTTTAGACTGTGCAGAGATGGACAGGATGACACTTAGACCGAAAGATAAAGAGGAATCGACATACTATGGGACGCCTGGTACGTGTGGCTTAAGAACAAAAAGAAATCAAAGTTACAATTAGGTAAAGAATAAGGAATTATGTATAGAAATGCATATATTCACTATGAAGAAATTAGGAATATGTGAAGAAAATATATAAACTTGTAATAAGAATAAGGGAAAGAATATGCAATGGTAATGCAATGTAGCGAGAAAGAAGGTATGTATAGAAACATCTATAAGGAAATGGAAATGATGTATATAATTTTAGCTTATGTTTTTAAAAACTTTTTGAAAACCGAATAAAGTTTATTAAAAAAATAAAAAAGAAAGGAAGTCTCCAATTGGTCCCTGGGAAGTGTGAATTTGCTGAAACAACCCTCTCATCTTAGGACGCCAACACCGCATCGATGTCTGTAGACCACAACAAAAAGGTCTCGGCCAGACGAACGTGGTGAAACAAAGATTTTCCTTCCCAACGTAGAGGAGGAAACTTTCTCACCCACTCCAGATGAAGCTGGAATGGACTTCGTAATTGACTTCACCTGGTTCAACCTTTTGTTCACAGGCCGCAAAAATAAAAGTCACACCGCAGCTTTTGAAGCTCTTAACTGGAACGCGGAGGAGTCTAGCCAGCCAGATTTCAAGATGTCAGAGAGAGAAATGGCGTGAGGAGACGTGGTGTGGTCAGCAATCTACATCAGAGAAACTTGGAGCAATTCTTGGAGTAAAGTGAAGCTGCTATATTCCATCTCCTTGACGTATCTTGGACTCCTTAACAGGGATGGGATTCTACCGGTTTGGACTGGTTCGCTCGAACCGGATGTTAAAGTTACATCAGATTCGCCAAACCAGTATTTCAACCGACTGGCTGGCCCCGTCCACTCTGCCCCGACCCTCCCAGGAGTCTCCATGCCATGCAGGTAAGTGCAGGGTCCCCGCAGAGACTCTGGGAGGGGGCCTTCCGGAAATCCGGAAACTTCCAGAAATGGGCCTGTTTCCAACTTCTGGAAGTCCTCCAGAGCCTGGGAGAGGCCAGTTTTGCCCTCTCAGAGGCCCGGGAGAAGCCTCCAGACCAGGGGTGGGATTTCAATTTTTTTAACAACCAGTTCTGTCAGGTGTGGCTAGGTGAGCGTGGCTAGGTGGGCGTGGCTAGGTGGGTGTGGCTAGGTAGCGTGGCTAGGTGGATGTGCCAGGTGGGCATGGTAGGTGGATGTTGCCATGGGACTGGGTGGGCGTGGCTCTTTTTTTGCAGCAACCTCCCACCATTTTTTGCCTCCCGGGCCTCCTGGGGGGCCATTTTTGCTCCCAGAAGGCTTCCCTGGGGTCCAGGAAGGCAAAAAAAATGGAGCATGGGGGGGGCACAGCTCCCCCCCCAACCCTGCTCCTCCTGGGCCTCAGGGAAGCCTCCTGGGTGAAGTAGTAAGACAGTGAGGGGGATCCCGGAACAGCTGATCATCAGAACAGCTGATCATTGGGAGTGGAAAAAAAGAAATACCTTAAGGCAGGGGTCTCAAACTCGCGGCCCGCGGGCCAATTGCGGCCCGCAGGACGACATCCTGTGGCCCCCACTGTGATATGAAAGTATAATATTAGTGCGGCCCACAGGGGGAATGGACCTCTGAAGGAAGTCCCGCCCGCCGTTCCTCGTCGTGGCTGACATTCGGCGCTAGGCTAAGCTACACCGACTTCATGCACACTACGCTTGTAACAACAGTGTGGCGGATGACGAACAGTCTGGTAGCAGTCGCCTTTTTTTGCAGTCACCATTCCGGTACTTTCTACCATCAACAAATGCCACAATCAAACGCAGAGAAAGGCGACTGCTACCGGGCTGTTCGTCATCCGCCGCGCTGTTGTGACAAGTAGAAGCGGAAATGACGTCACGCGGAAGCGGAAATGACGTCATTTTTGTGGAATCCCTTATGCGGCCCAGCCTCACCCAGACTCTGCCTCCAGTGGCCCCCAGGTAAATTGAGTTTGAGACACCTGGCTTAAGGAGTGACTGGGCGGGGGAGAATGCAGTTAGTGATGTCGGGCATGCGCTATAAGAACTGACTGGGTGGGAGGGGCAGGCAGAGAGGGGCGGGGCCAGCCAGGGGCATGATTTGCCGGTGCTCCGAACTGCGCAGAAACAAAGCAACCGGTTCTATAGAACCGGTATCATCCCACCCCTGCTCCGGATCCTTGGGAGGGTGAAAACGGCTTCCTCCCTGGCTCTGGAGGCCCACCGAAAGCAGGAAACAGGAAGTTGACCATGCCCACCCAGCAATTGGGCATTGAACCGGTTGCTGGGATTGTTCAAGCCCGCTCTTACTCCTTAACCCGGTTGGAAATCCTACCTGGAAACTTCTTCCGAGCAAGCAAGGGACATTTTTCCCCATCTCCACATCTGGAGGACCTTTGGGGGGGCAAGATGCTTTCGGTCCCAGACGAGACCACTAGGGGTTCTCCTTAAAGAAGGTCACAGTTGGAACTCCAGGCTGTTCAACCATCTCGGCAGGTCCTGGTGCCCATTTCGCAGCTGAGGATCTCAGCCTGCTGTCCTCCAGGTGGGCCTTCATCCACCCCAGTGGAGGAATTATGGACGTTGTAATCCCAACACACCTCGAGGACACCTAATCAATGAATTGAAGGTTGAGCAATGGAGACCCAACACCGTATAGCGGTAGAACTACTGCTAGCCACTCATTTTGTGGACAACGGTGGCAAAACTCACTTTAAAAACGGGGCAAAACTCACTTGACAAATATCTCGCTTAGCAAACCGAAATTTTGGGCACCGTTGTGGTTGTAAGCCGAGGACTACCTGTGGATCTCCCTGAGCTCAGAAAAGCACACAGTCCCTTCCTCTTCTGAAGCCCACATGGGCTGAGGATGCTGGGAGTTGTAGTCCTGGCAGTTCTAAAGAGGGAGCCATCTTGGAACGGGGGAAAGGAAAGGATGGTTGATTTCTCTCTCTCTCTCCCCTCTCAAGATGGCTTCCCACAAGGACCCCTCCCCTCCTCACCCCCTTCTTCTTCCTCATCTGTTTTTGGTATTCCGCTGCATAACATAAATAACCTGTTTTCTGTTTTGTGGCGCAATTTTTCCATTCCTGGGGCAAGATCTGTGTCCGGGTGGGGTGGGGGTGGGGTTGGTTGAGCCGGCAAGATAGGAAACAGAAGAGAACTGTACAAAAGCGGAGGAATTCCAGGGGGAGGGGCAGGAGCTTCAAAGGTTTTCCTGGAGACCCCAAAGCGATGGAAGGTCTAGTTCTCCCCCACCCCGAAGAATTGTATAACTCCGTTTGTGTCTGTCTGTGTGTCTGTCTATCTATCTATCTCTATCATCTGTCTCTGTCTCTCTGTCTGTCTGTCTGTCTGTCTGTCTGTCTGTCTGTCTGTCTGTCTCTCTAACCTTCCCTCCCTCCCTTCTTTCCTTCCTTCCTCCCTCCCTCCCTCCCTTCATCTCCCACCCACCCACCTTCCCTCCCTCCCTTGCTCTGTCTCTTCTTTCCTCCGTCCCTCCCTCCCTTTCTTCCTCCCTCTGTCCCTCCCTCCCTCCATCTCCCTCCCTCCCACCTTCCCTCCCTCCCTCCCTTTGTCCTTCCCTCCCTCCCTTTCTTCCTTCCTTCTTTCCTTTCTCCCTCACTCTCTTCCTCTCTCTCTTCTTTCCTCCTTCCCTCCCTTCCTTTCTTACTTACTCTGTCCCTCTCTACATCTCCCTCCCTCTCTACATCTCCCTCCCTCCCTTGCTCTGTCTCTTCTTTCCTCCCTCCTTCCCTTCCTTCCTTTCTTCCTTCCTCCCTCCCTCCCTTCATCTCCCTCCCTTCCTCCCACCTTCCCTCCCTCCCTTTCTTCCTTTCCTTTCTCCCTCACTCTCTCCCTCTGTCTCTTCTTTCCTCCTTCCTTCCTTCCCTCCCTTCCTTTCTTCCTTTCTCTGTCCCCCCCACCTTCATCACCCACCCACCTTCCCTCCCTCTCTCCCTTCCTTTGTCCTTCCCTCTCTCCCTCCCTCCCTCCCTCCCTTCCTTTGTCCCTCCCTCCCTCATTTCCTCTTTTTTCCCCTCCCTCCCTTCTTTCTCTCTCTGTGAGTGTTTTTGTGCATATGTGGAATTTTACCCGAAAGCTTCCTAAAGTAACTACAAGCTGTCCAAGATGAAAATCAAAGTAATTTGCTTTCATTTAAAAAAAACAACACCCTCCATTAACATTTGGTAGAAAGGGCTATGTATTCTACAGGTAATCCTTCGCCAAAGTCAACCTCTCAAATTCATTCCCTACAGCCAACTGGAATATAGTTATTCAAGAAAATTAGATTTCCCGTTCTCCCTCAAAATTCCAGGTTTCTCCTGTCCCGCGTGAATTAAGGCAGCATCGCAGCCTCTCTGTTTAAAAAGAAATCCCTTCCTCAGAGCAATGTGGTAATAAAAGAGGACAGAGAACTCATTAGGATAAAAGCAATTAGACCTTTATTTGACTTGCTAGAATTAAATTACTTCATGCCGGAGCAACTGGGGATGATTTTGCTGCAGGAAATTTGCCGCACCTCCAAATTAGCTTCTCTGCAAGGCTACAACCTTGGCCTCGTGAGATCATTTTGAGACGTTAAAAGTCAAGAATATCTTTTGATTCCCAAAAGATTGCCGCACACTTCTTGGAAAGCCCAGGAAAAAAATCCACAAATCACCACCGCTGAAGTCCAATTAGCATCCCCAAGTGTCTGACGGAGGTTTCCTCTGTCGATTCGCGTCCCACCGCAACCGGTTGCCTTCGCTGTCCTCCTCACCAGGCCACATTATGGAGGAGGTACGTGGCCCAAAAGGTCACAAATCCCTTCAATCTCGTAGGCTAAGATCTCTACAAGCCTGGTAGACCTTCTTCACTTGCTGGTCATCATCCTCAGGAACTCCTCATAATTCATCTGCCCGTCTCCATCCAGGTCGGCCACCTTCAGCATCTCCTCGACTTCTTCGCTGGACAACTTCTCCCCCAAGTTGGTCATGATGTGCCTCAGCTCCGCAGCGCTGATGTAACCGTTGCCATCTTTGTCAAACACCTGGAAGGCTTTCCGGATCTCGTGGCAATCTCGGCTCTTGACCTCCTTCTCCATCAGGTTCAAGAACCCGGGAAAGTCGATGGTGCCGTTTTTGTGCATTTCCAACTTGTGGACGATCTCCCGCAGTTCGGCTTCAGTAGGGTTTTGCCCCAAGGACCTCAAGACAGTCCCGAGTTCCCTGGTCGTGATGGTCCCATTTCCATCCCGGTCAAAGAGCATGAAGGCTTCTTTGAACTCCGCGATTTCTTGTTCCGTCAGAGAGGTCATGGTGCCTTCTTCTGCCCCCGACCAACTCGCCGATCCACCTTCTGCGGCTGGTTGCTCGTCTTGGCGGTGAAGAAATGCTTCTTCTTCACTTAGCCCAAAAAGGATTCGAGTTTGTTTCTACTGGCTGGTCTCCAAGAGATGTTCTGGCATCTTGCAACAAGGAGCCAACACCCCTGCCTTGATTCCACTGGAGCAAAGTCAATGGTGGAAATCTTCTCCTGAAGGCTCCACACCCTCCTCATTAGGAACCTGCTAATCTGGTCTGGGCCAGGCCCGAAGGAAGTTAACCATTTCTGGATTCCATCCCACGTCTTTATGGGACCCCGGGCCTGCTACTGGTTTCCAGTGACAAGCGTCTCAATGGTCTGGAGAACATCAGTTTGAGGAGGAGAACAATGGGTAACTGATGATGGGGCTGGATGACCTCCAGCTGCCTCTCGGCAGCCATGGCCCAGTCTGTCCATTCATAAGTCCTTGTCACTCAAGAATGAAGCTCGCTCAAAGCATGTGTGTTAAGAAGTTAAAAAGAAAAAGAGGTATTAGAAAGCTTTGATTTTAGGAATGCGTTTGAAGGAAAGTTTAGCATTTCAAATAGGGTGGGGTGAAAAAGAGTGCACACCAAAAAAGGTTAGAAACTAGTGGATGGGGAGTTCTAATTGCACCCCTCCCCCATGCACAAAAGCTGGGTGCTGACTTTGGGCCAATCACCAGGAGACAGTGAGTTCTAGTCCTGCCTTAGCCATGAAAGCTGTTGGGTGACTTTCAGCCAATCACGAGGAGACTGTGAGTTCTAGTTCCGCCTTATCCATGAAAGTCAGCTGGGTGACTTTGGGCCAATCACCGGAGATGGTGAGTTCTAGTCCCGACTTAGCCATGAAAGCTGGTTGGATGACTTTGAGCCAATCACCAGGAGATGGTGAGTTCTAGTCCCGCCTTAGTGATGAAAGTCAGCTGGCTGACTTTGGGCCAATCACCAGGAGATGGTGAGTTCTAGTCCCGCCTTAGCCATGAAAGTCAGCTGGGTGACTTTGGGCCAATCACCAGGAGACGGTG